ATCAACTGGAATATTTCGATGAGCCTGACCTCGTCTTCTTGGTAAATTTTGACGCACTATGTGTCTTGCTCTGGTTTTCTTATGATCGAAGTGCTATTTACTCGGTTTGCTACTTATGAATAGTCCTTTCAATAGTCAATCAATAATGTTGTTAATTCAAAGTGTTACCGAATGATCGTCCAAAAATTTTAACTCCCATATGCCGGTCAAGTTTCAGGGAGTTCGAGGGAAGCAAAGATATTTGCTAGGGAAGGGGGGGGGGGACACGGGTAGAGAGCGCTAGAACAAAGATTTCGCATTAATTGTCTTTAAACTAGTGAGTGGATGGCACAGCCAAATAGCAAAATTATTGTGATTAAAATGTGAAAGCCAACCAATGTTTTATCTTGATTTATGATTTCATAACCCCATAGTCTGTTTGTGAGAGTATGCAATTGTGTCTGGTGATATGCATAATTGGGATGACCATTTCGTCTCATTACTTAAGGAACCAAGCAACAGGTACACTTCTTCAATTAAGTTTTGAATATCACGTATCGCGGTGGAAGTTCCTTTTGCTTTAACGATTTATGGCGTCTAGATTAGTTGCCATTACGGGCTAATCGAATTGCTTTAGGACACAAAAGCCAATATGTATGTATGTATGTAAGCACTTTTTCCAATTTGCAAATGTGTCGAAGTTGATAAGTGCTTGGCAAACGTGGGTATTGCACAAGATATTGAACTTTTGTATTGAGGAGTTTGGGATCAATTGTCAAATCACCTCTAGGTATTAATTGACATTCATTCCAATTAATGATTGGGGTGGGTGTGCAACCTCCTTCATTGTTTATTTAATTTTGTTGTCACTTTCACTTTGTCGTCGAAACTAAAGCCATGAGGGATTAGCGACATAAACGTTATCCAAGTCGCGCCTTTGTTTAAAGAAATACGAAATCTTTGTTTTGTTTTAGGATTGGGTAAGTAACTACGCAAAGAAGGCCATTCATTCTAAGAACTCCAATCTAACCGACCTCGCGAATACCTGCAACGCTCTTCTTAAAGGTGGTTTTCTGCGAGTACCACTTGGTGAGCTCAAAATCAATAAAGTTGAATTAATCGATCTTAACCTAATTATGTCTTATCCATTTACTTTTGCCTTTAAAGAATCGGCTTCTCAAGGTGGTCCCCCTCAAACGGAACGACAAAAGGCAGTTGCAACTGTAAAACATTTCTAGTCTTTACAAATGATTTTCAACTTACAATCTATTTGCATTATTGATTTTTCTCTTCACTCTACAGCTTTCGAATCTGGTTCATGTCAACTTTGGAGAAGATTGCAAAGGCCTGTTAACAATAACCCCAACTGAATTCGACGTAGCAGTTGAAAGAATCTTCGGCAGCTACAAGAATGCAAACCCAGATTACTCGAAGCTACATAATTACTCTCATTGGTTGGCGAACTATTCTTCCGATGAAAGTGACTATATTGAAATGCCTGGTCAACGATTGGAATTTTCCTCAACAACTAAGCGCTTAATAACCATCGAACGCATAGATCCGAATGTCAAGGTGAGAGTTCGCCTTTACTGTTCTCAACCATAAACTTGCGAAAGAATCTTCAAGTTTTTCCTTAAGGCAACACGAAGTACATTGGGAATCGATACAAGATTTCGGAGAGATCATTTTAGTAATTTGTTGCCAACACAAGTTTTCAGCTTGATCAAAATTTCACACTTGTTGATGGAAGCAATTCGTCTCCACTCCCTACCAAACGTCAAAAATGGTATTCAACCAATTTTTAATACCACACCGCTCCCCCAATGTATTTAATTATTTATTTATTTCGAATGGGAGGCATTTGACGGTTATCATTAGCCCTTAGCTGACTTCGAACTTCACAGAGGAGAGAAACATCAAAGTTCAAGAGGGTGGACTGAAGAGTGATTTGCAGATGTAAAAGAGATAGATTCAATGATAGAGAGTAGGGCAAGGTGAATACTCTAGAAGTGGTCGACTATGACATACAGTGAGGTCATAGTAGTTCGAAGTCAGAAGTCAACTGCCGAATAATAGACTTTTTTGCCATATGAGTATACGTTGCCCAGGGTGCACCATATGGAGGTAAGTCTATCGCATACCCCTGGTTTTATCAGTAATAAAAGGCTAAATCAACTCTCTGCGTGACCGATGATTATGCCATAATCCTTCTTTAGAGAGTGAGTCATTTAAGAAACGGTAACTATGTAACAATGAAAGAACTGGACATTGGACAATGAAGAGAAAAACTTCTTGACGCGAAGTAGGATATAAACAAAAGTTGAGACTTGTGAATATGTAACAGAAAGTAAATTATCGATTTATCATCTAACGTGTCACAATCATCAAGTACTCATAAACAACATCTATCTGAATATTATTGCTATATTTAACTATTATTAATTAGCTATCAAGATTCTAAAATGAATTCCTTTCAAGATAATTGATTAAATGGAAACCGGGTTGAAACAAACTTACAAAATATAAGCCGCTTTCTCACTTTTAAAAGTGCAATATCTGCCATTGGGTAGTTAAGGCCTTCTGTAAAAACATAGGCCGCTTCAACTAGGTGCACCTCTCTATACTCATCGGCGAGTTCACTCTTGTAATGATTTCCCACTTTGATGAAAATATTGTAAGGAACGAATTTTTCTGGTGCGAACCATATATTTTTTGGAAGAATAGCGGGTGCTGGCTGACCGAGACCCATCAGACAATGCATTGTAGTAATGAGGAATTCTTCAGTCACTACCGATGCGGTACAGAATGGTTCTGTGTCAGAGAGTGCAACCACGCTCTTATTCTCCGAAGCAATGTAGACTTTATGAAGTCCCGCCTGAGAAAGAAAAAAATACTTTGAAGGGACTTTCAAAGGGATATTTTACGTTACCGCCTATTCTTTTCTACCTGTTTGATGCATTGTTTGTATAGTAACAAGTATTATTTAATGTTTTAGCGCAGTATAATCGTCTTTTGGCAATCCTTGGCCAGGTTTTTTCTTGAAGTCAACTGAAATGAAAACTATTCCATTCCCCTTACAACAAGACATCTTTGGGATATAATGTATCAAGATTGATTGAGATGTAGTACCTCGAACAAGGTCGTTGCTGATCTTAGATACCTTCTCTCTGGAAGGGAAAATCCACAACTCAATGAAATTCAATTAAAAAACGCAAGTAGCTGTATCTACTATTGACAGAAAATTTTCTACCATTATTTCTTCTCAAAGGCTTCCAGTCTCAAATTTTTTCGAATTCTGTAAAAGGAAAGGGCTTTTGCAACACGGTATATCCGAAAGTAGTCATTAATGCTACTATGAGGTGCATTACAAGTTTCTTCAGGTAAACTGTTGAAGAAGGTACAATAGAATGATGATAAATACGCATCTCCTTTGTGTAGCTAAGATGAAGGAGTCTATTTTAAGATGTTTCTCCTCCTTGCTCTAAAATTAACCCTGTAATGCTCTGCATCTTAGTAACAACTATCAAATTTATTCAAAGAGAGTGCAAATTAAATCTTTCAATTTGCTGTCAGGTATAAATTAAATATCACGAAACCACGAGAGAAAGAGGAGTTTTTGAATTTTCCGATAATCCAGCTAAGTGACAGTGATCAATGGCTCTTCACCACTGCTGTCGCCGGTTGTCTACAACTCCAGCCTAATTAATGTGACCATGACTCGAAAATAATGAAAACACGGTCCTCTTCTCTCAACCAACTAAAATTCCATTCACGCATTCGTTATATTTGTTTACCGCATCTTTTCAGACACCCACCCCCTCAACTCATTCTCCATCTTCTGTAGGTTCTGATCCTCTCCCCACTAAGAAAAATATTCTAAAAATTAACGGAGGAAAGAAAGCATAGCAAAAAGTGTACCTCAGCTGATTTTAATGTCTTAGAAACTCATCTGAATTGTTTGCTTTCCTGATGGGAATTTAAAATTGAAAAGGGGTTTAATGGTCGATCATGCAGGTTTTTCAAATTCCCAAAAGGCGCTGTTATTGACATACTCTCGATACGAAAATTCAATGCTTAAACTTAAAGATGCGGCGTATCTGTCTTCCACATCCTAATCAGTTGTTT